GGGGGACCCTGAGGTGAAACTAAGGGGTGGGGGACCCTGAGGTGAAACTAAGGGGTGGGGGACACTGAGGTAAGGCTATGGGGAGACACTGAGGTGAAACTAAGGGTGGGGGACACTGAGGTGAAACTAAGGCAGGGGGACACTGAGGTAAGGCTATGGGGAGACACTGAGGTGAAGCTATAAGGTCCGGAGGCAGGATACACCCACACTGAACACACAGAATCCCGTCACCAGGGAAGACTTTTAGCCAAGTTGACCCACACAGCTCTGCCCGCACTCACCTATTATGCTGAAGACTATGAAGAAGATGGCGTAGGCGCGGTTCTTAGAATATGCAGGAATCATCACTGAGAGAAAGAAGACACCCAAGAAGCTGAAAATCCACTGACAGCCTGGGCACATCCTGACCCCACACCATCCACCAGCTCAACACAACTGAGGCTCTGCCCTGGGAGCGCTGAGGCTTCTCATCCAAATCCCTATCCTCACGCCTCCATTTGCACACTCTTGGGACCAAGGAATTCCCTAGCAAGGAGGATCATCCTTATGCAGAAGTGAAGTCAGCATCCCTGTGACATTCCTCACGGGCAGTTCAGCTCTGCCTGTGATGATCTGCCAGACTTGTAGGACACATGGGACAGCAGCCAGGGCCTGGCAGTACAGCACTCCCTGGATGTGGAAGATCCCTGGCTGCCCTCCTGGGAAGGTGTCTATGGCTGGTGACCATGCCTGAGACCAGTATGAAAGGCCCAGCCAGGGTGGCCTGGCCCCACGCAGCCCAGGAGGACCACAGCTTCCCACTCCTGGCCACAGCCCACCTATACAGCTGGCGGATGTGTCAGCACCCCAACACAGCAAGCGCCACAGCCAGCCCAGACCCCAGGGTTCTCATGCACAGTGCTGCCAAGTGGCGCCTGACAGCGGGGCCTGGGAGGCCACCAGAGGAACCCTACTGAGCACTGCCATCTGACACACAGAAAGGATGCCTATCACTTGTAGCTTCTCAGGATGAGGAGACGAGGGGAAGGAGGAAGTGAAGAGAAGGAAAACAGAGCTAGCAAAAGTACAGATGGAAAGAAAAAAGCAACACATGGGAAAGAGAAGAGGAGAGAAGAAAGGGGACACTGAAAAAGAAGAAAGTGGAGAACAGAAAGGAGCACAAGGAACTTCAGGGTGACCAAGGACAGCAGGAAACACCGCCCTTCCCCCCCAAGTCCCCCGCCGAGATAAAGGCAGCACCCTCACCCACCCCAGGCTCCCGCCCTTGCCCCGCACACACCATCGGGGTTGTTGGCGGTGGTCAGCAGCACCAGGAGTGAAGTCAGAGCATCCGGCAGGTTCCGGAAGTAGGTCTGCCTCTCCCTTCTCTGCCAATCATCCTGCTAAGAGTGGAAGTGGCAACTCCAACAGCCACTAGGCCCCCACCCCATGGGCTGAGTGTGGGGCCAGCAGAGCCCCAGACCCTGGGCCCAACAACTTGGAACCATCCACCCAGCTGCCCAGCACCTGCCTCCTCCTATCATTTCTCAGAGATTCTGAGTTCATGGCCAGACAGGACCAAACTCAGAGTCCCTGGCACAAGAGCAGGTGTCCAGGGAGGCTACACACCCACACAGATGCTGGCCACTGAAGCAGGTCTGCTCAGAACCACAGTGAAAAGCCCTCACCAGTTAAGCTAAGAGCATCACAGCCTGCCACACGGGGAGGGAAGAGCCAGACCCTGGGTCACGACTCCCCCTCCCAACAGGAGAGCCCGTACCTGCTCTACAGGCTGCGCATTAAGGGCCCACAGCTGCCCACAGGACTCAGAGGCCTGGTCTTGTGGTTTACCAGCAAGGGACTTCTGCGCCCACTCCCTACCCTGCCTCCCTCCTAGGAGGGCTCCCAGCCTCGAAACACAGCAAGTATGTGGTAACTCTACTCAGGACTCCAAGCCCAGGGTTCTCCCAAGGGCCTGGGCACACAGGCAACTGCCTGCCAAGCCTCTCAGCCAGAAGATGGGTGACCCCTGTAAACAAGACTGTCACTGCGAACTGTGGGGACAGGTGCACATGGTATACAAAACTCTCTCATCATGAGGACCAACTCTGTGAGCAGGCCCTTGCCAGGGGCCACCCACGATGATGACTCTTTCCTGCACGGAATGCCCTTCCTCCCTCAGGGCCCAGGGCCACACTGCAAACACCAGGGCCTCCAAGTCCTCATACATAAAATGGCACTGCCCCCAGTCTGCACAGTCAGGGGCCCTAGGACAGATGAGCCAACACTACAGAGGTAGGGGACACAGGAGTTAGAAGGTTGAGTGCTGCCAGGCACAGAGCCCCAGACAGGGGCAGGATGCTGCTGGGGGAGAGGGAAGAGGAGGCAGCCCCACCAGGGTATCACCTTCAGGGGCCTGGAGGACAGGCCATGCCCACCCTAGACCCCAGGAATGACAGGATCAGAGAGCTGAGGTCAGCACTCCTGGGCCTGCCCCCACCCACCCTGACCTGCCACATTCCTAAATGTAAAACAACCCCCAAACACTAAGCACCCACTGTGGGAACTGCCTATCCTGACTAATTAGCCAAGCCCCTTGCACAGCTAAAACGTGAAGACGTGGGAATGCATTCCAGAGAAGACCAGGACCAAAAAAACACCAGCTTGGTGACATGCTTTAGCTACCACAGTGAGGCAATTTGGGCTCACATCAACTGAGGAATGTTCCTGCACCTGTGCTATTTTACAGACAAGGACATCGAGGCCCAGGGATCTCCCCAAGGCAGGCGGGATCTCCAGAGCCACACTAGGTGCCTCCTGGCAAGTCTCCTTCCCCTACAAATCCATGCCCCCAGGAGAAGACCCCAGGCGTGACCTCCCTACTGTGGAGACCCCAGACTGAGCCATAGCTCTGCAGGGGAAAAGGAACGTGGTTTCTCACTCAGCTACTGCCAACCAGCAATGATGAACCTGTGCCAGGCTGTGGCCTGAAACTGGAAATTTATCTGTCAAGTGGGATGAGGCCATTGCTGCTGCTGGGGGACCACACACCCCCAACACCAAGCCCATTTCTTTTTTTTTTTTTTTTTTTTGAGACAGAGCCTCAAGCTGTCCCCCTGGGTAGAGTGCCGTGGCACTACAGCTCACAGCAACCTCCAACTCCTGGGCTCAAGTGAGTCTCCTGCCTCCGCCTCCCAAGTAGCTGGGACCACAGGCGCCTGCCACACGCCCGGCTATTTTTTGGTTGCAGCCGTCATTGTTGTTTGGCGGGTCCGGGCTGGGGATTCGAACCCGCCACCTTAGGTGTACGTGGCTGGCGCCTTAGCCGGTTGAGCTATAGGCGCCGAGCCCAAGCCCATTTCTTAAAAATAATTCCAAGTCAGAACTTCATGGTGACAAAGGTCTACAGGTAACATACATGCTGGCGTGGTACAGTGTTCACAAAGGTGTGAAAACAAGGCCAGGCCCTCATTCTCAGCTGGCAGGGCCCATGGGATGCTGACAAAGGCCACCCAGGAGTGAGGCCCAGCTCCCCATATAGGCCAGGCTGGCAAGGGAACACAATGGCCATGGTCAAGGAACCCAGGACAGGTTGGCCACCAGCCCACGCTCATCTGAACTGCAACCTCAGGCAACCTGGACTCTTGCCCAGACCACAATGAGCAACCATCTTTCCCCACAATTAAACAATACCACCCTGCTCAGCCCAGTTCCCCTTCATGGGCAGAAACCCACACCTGGAGAAGCCAACCCTGGCAGGTACCTCGGGACACTCGGCCATTTTGAGACAGAGGCCCACAGTCCCAATCTTGAGACCAAGCCTGTTACCACCTCCAGCCCCCCACATCGACTCTGCCTACTCAGCCTGGGCTCTCGGAAATAGCAGTGACTATAGCCACCACTGAGATTCCATCAGCTGTCCCACCGTAGTGACCCAGCTGCCCCTGCCTTCCACAAACACACACACAGACACACACACACAGACACCTGCAGACACAGATACAGATGCGCACGTATGCACAAACACAGATGCACACGTATGCACATGCACACACATACACCTGGGGGTGGGGGGGTTCAGGCCCTTGGGGCTGACTCCTTCTACCTAAGGTTAGAAGGCACAGCCTTCGGTCTGCCCTCCTCGGACAGCACAGGCATAGCCCCAAATGTCACTGCAAACTCACAAAGACCAGCCTTGGCCAAGCACTGCCCACACTCCCAGGACAAAGCAAGAGAGAAGCAGCCAGCCCCAGCCTTGAGGACAGTGACACTGTCCCAGACAGACACACGACGTTGCAGGTAGGGAACAGCAAGGCAAGCAACAAGTCTGCCAGAGAAGAGGATGGGCAGACAGAGCAGGGAGAGGGTGTGAGAAGTGGGGCCAATCCAGGAAGCTGGTGCAGCCTGGGGGGCTACAGGGAACGCCAGATGTCAGCAGATATGAGAGGTATGACAGGCACTGGAGAAAGAACCAGCATAATCACCCAGGTGAGCTGCCTGACAGGCAGGGCAAGGAGGGACACAGGGAGGGGCTAGAAAGGGGACAGGGAGATTGAGGTGTCTCAGACAGGTGGCATAACCTGGTTCTCCACCTCTGCCAACCTAGCCCAAGAACTAGCACACAGTTTGCACTGGATTAAGCAAACACAGAGACACCAGCCCAGCGCCTGCATCCGTCCCAGCTCAGGGCAGCCCCGTCATGGCCCGGTCCCCCAGGTCCTCACCTTCTCGCCAGCGAACAGCAACATCCCGAACATGGTGAAGAGAAGCAGGTGCACCGCCAGCAGCAGCCCAACACTGGGGAGCACATGGCACTCAGCAGCAGGCAAAGTAGAGCCCACAGGCCAGGTGGGATGGGCAGGGCCTGGGGGCAGCGACCTGCCTGCCAGGCTCGGTTAAGGGGGTAACCCAGGAGCTGGGTCAGAACCAGGCAGCATCTTGGTCCCTCCTCCTCCTCCAAGCACCTGCCTTGTGCTCAACCATGGAGTCCAGAGCATGTACAGTGCTGCCTAGCAGAGCCCCCTTTCTTTTTCAGGGACAAATACAACCCCGGGGGCCCAGAAGAAGCAGTGTGAAGGACCAGGGACCCTCAGACCAGAGAGGCCACTTCTATCCATCTGGTCTGGCAGTTAGGAGGCCATGCATAGGAACCACTGGGGACTCAGCAGCACTACCACTGACAAGAACAGATGGACAGGGGTCCAGGAAGGCAAGGCAGAGTGGAGGCTGGACAGAGGTTGGGCTCGGAACACAGGTGGTGACAGAACCACGTCAGGAGCAACTTGGCCTTAGAAAGCCTATATGGAGAGCATGCCAGTCCCAAGGGCACGCCAACACCGAGTTGCACAGAAGACAGCAGAGAGGAAGGGCGGTCACAGAGGGAATGGAGAGGACAGGAGTGGCCAACCAGACCCATTGGGAAAAACATTCACAGGACTCCCAACCTTCAAACTGGAGCCAGAGGACCTAGGACACCCACCACCAGCCTCCCTGCCAACTTGGGAGGGAGAGAGCCCGCTGTGAGGAGCCCCACACAGCATGGCCCACCCACCAGCCCCGAGAGCCCACCTGGCCATCTGCGGCAGCGACCACCTGATGCCCTTCAAGGTCTTCTTCATCATGGAGGAGTTCTGCAGCAGGAAGAAGGGCCGGAGGACCCGGCGCACGCGCAGGGGCTGCAAGAGACCCAGGCAACTGAGAATCCCCATGTCCTAAGTCCCACCCCATCCCTGCCACCACAAGGCCAAACAGACCAGAGACCCCAGTGTCCTCGGGCCACCCTACAAGGCCTGGGCTTGCCTGGGGGCCTGGGTCCCGGAGTTGGCTTTAAGGCCCTCCCCGGGTCACACGCCTCCACTCTCCTTCCTCAGCTCGGGCCTTCATGTCTCTTGACTTCGGGGTTCCCCCACCACAGAGTCTCTGTCCCTGTCCATGTCAGAGGCTGTTCCCAATGCCCACCAAGGGCACAGCTGAAAAGCACAGTGGCTGGTGTGCCTCCTTCCACATCTGCCTCCTGCTCTGAAAGCACCTGGCCGCCCGCATGCCCCTGTTAAGCTCCTGCCCATCTCTCAGAGGACCACCCCTGCCTCCTCCCTCCTCAACCTCATCCTCCTTCCCTCTACTCTCCCTCCCCCCAAAGACACTGACACTCCCTGAAACACCCAGGAGCTCTCCACCCCCGTCACACTCACACACTGCACTGTCCACACTAATACACACTTGCACATACACTCACACACACACAGACCCTGCTTCCCACTTCCTGTGATGGGCCCAGCCCCCTCGGATTGGCTCTGTCACCTTCCCCCCAACACACTACCACACCTTCCACTCATAACAAAACCCCCCTCGCTCCACACTTCCCTGCTCCTGTCCCCTCAACTGTCCTCTCTGAGGCATGGGGCCCACTCCCGAGTCATTAAACCACAAATGCCCCCCGGCCCTACCTCAAACTCTCAGCACCAGATGGGCTGCTGCTAGGCTCCCTGAGCCTCCAGCAGGCCCTTTGCCTGGCCCTGCCTGGCCCTGCATCTCCTCCCTCTGGCTTTATACCCTGATCCAAAATCATCCATCCTGTGACTTTAAGAATCATGTTTATCCTTTAGATTCTTCCCACAGTAGATCTCAAATCCAAGCTCTCAGCTCCAACCTCACAACCTACTCCACATCTAGTCTTGGAAACACAGAGCTGTCAGCTCCCTATTCAAAACCAAAATCCCTCAATGGCTGGCACTGCTCCGACGGAGGCCTGCAGGGCCCCAGGGAGCAGGCCCTGCCAGATGCTCCAGTCCACCTGGGCTGGCCAACAGCAGCCCTCCCTGCTGGTCTCTGCTCAGATGGCTGGCTGTCCCCTGCTGTCATGGCACAGTGCAGCAGCCCTGCCTCCTCTAGCAGTGCTCTGGGCCCCTTTCCGTCACCACACCCACGACACTTTGGGATGAGCCTGGTGGGGAATTAGCCACCACCTCACATCCTTGCAACTGCACTTTGGGTCACAGAGGCAACAGGGACCCAGCACTCACCAGCAGCAGCTGGCCTGCAGGAAGGGCACAAGAGCCTCAGGGATACTTAGTGCTGCTGCCAGCGGTGGCATATAGGGCACAGCATGGGCTCGGAACTCCTGGACACTCGGCAGGGCTACTCCCTAGTCAGGAGCAACTAGGACCAGGTGAGGAAGCAGGAGCAGCAGCATTTCCCCCTTCCACTCTGACAATCTGGGCTCCCCTGGTCTGGAAGTGTCCATGCCCAAAGGAGAAATGCTTCCAGCAGGGACAGTCACTGAACTCACTAGTTGGACAGTAACTTGTTCATGGAAAGGGGGTTGATGTGCTGAGAGGGTGAAGGACTCCAATTTCCACGGACATTTAGACTGAATCGGGTATCTTCTGGGGCACCTCTTAGTATACCCACACAAAACAGGAAAAATTACCAGAGAACTTCAGCCATTAAAAAAAAGCAGGACCAGCCAGGCACTGAGACAGGGGATCTCCTGAGCTCAGGAGTTGGATACCAGCCTGAGCAAGAACGAGACACTATCTCTACTAAAAAGAAATAAACTAGCCAGGCATTGTAGAAGGTGCCTGCAGCCCTGGAAGCTAAGGCAGGAGGATCACTTGACCTAAGAGTTTGAGGCTACTGTGAGCTAAGTTGATGCCACAGCACTCTAGCTTTTCAGGACCTAAAACCAACATCACTGAGCTTCTGCAAGACACCAAGTGCCGGTGGGGCGGGTCTCAGCTCTATGGGCCCCAGCCCTGAGCTTCTAAATGCTAATAACCCCAACCTCCTTCCTGTGTCCTCCCACCCTGCCATCCAGGTGTGGGACTGCTTCCTGCTGTTCTGCCTTCCACTGGGTTCCCAATTCACTTTTTTGGTTCCTTAACATCTCTGTAAGTCCCTACACTCAATTCTCCTTACTAAAGTACCTGATAGACCCTGGCAGATACAGCTGACTCCAAACCAACCTTTCCTAGCTCTGCGCTACCAAACCATGGGGAGGTGCTTCTGGGTGCTCAGATACAAAGATCCTGCAGTGAAGAGGTTAACAGGAGGCCAGGGACATGGATTTTCTTACTGCTGGGCCTCACAGAGCTTAGGTAGGTAACTCTTAGGCGAGGTGAGGCCCTGGATGGTGCTTTTATGGGGGACTCTGCAAGTTGAGGAATTAGGCCAAAAAGTGGACAGCCAAGAATTAGGGCGTCCTGAAACTTGCTCCCAGTGTCCTCCTCTTACCAACAGGATAACCCAAGGGAAACCTCATGGCTTCTCCAGGGTTCAGTGCCTTCCTATGCAAGGTGGGAAGGAGGGACCCTGGCCGATGGGTGACTAAAGGGCTACAGAGAGTGGGCAGTACCAGGCAGCTGTGCAGGACAGTCATAGGCCTCAGACCCTGACCCAGCACTCACCTGGGCCACAGTACCTGGCACCTACAGCCTCGCAGAGCTCCCTGCCTCAGCACTTACCGCCTGACAATGGAGACTCACGGACACAATCCAGTCTACCAGCGACACGAAAAGCACCCCGACGTAGACCACCATCCAGTGGTTCTTCTTGAAATGGACCCACCCAAACAGGTAGCCCTGCAAGAGAAACAGTGGCCAGCCAGTGAGCAGCCAGAGAAGCCGGCCGGCAGCCAGTCAGTCAGAGGGGCCCAATACAAGCCCTCCGGGCTGTCCTCAGGGCTGGGGCTGGCTTGTCTCCGTTGCAGATGAGTGGAGATGCAGCAACCAGAGCACAAAGAGCCCCTTGAAACAAACGGTGAGGGCCAGAGAGCATTCAGGGAGCAGGCACTGACCAGGAGCCAGGCAGAGCCCCCAGCTTGGTGACTAGACTCTCTATGCAACCTGAGGCACAGCATCTAACTCTGTGGCCTCAGTTTCCTCAAAAACTGGGACCAGCTCATCCCTACGTCTGATCAGAGGAGCACATCTAGTCAGGAGACGTCAGGCATGTGGAGCTTCCGAAAGGCAACCACCAGATGCATTCACACAGGAGACGAACCACTTTCACCGAGAAGCAACTGGAAGCTTTGAAAGTCTTGTACGGTAAGAACCCATACCCAAACCCCAGCCTTCAGAAAGAGATGGCTTCAAAAATAGACATACATCCAACAGTACTGCAGGTTTGGTTCAAGAACCACAGACCAAAACTCAAGAAAGCAAAATGCAAGGACCTTCAGCAACAACCTCAAGCTCAACAGCAGCCAGAGCCCAAGGGTGGAGTCAAGACCAGTCCCTCCCAAGAAGGTAGGGACACACAACCCAGAACCCCCAGCAACAACTATCTGATAGCCTGTGTTTATGAAGATTCCCAGGCACCCTTGTACCAATTCAGCCTGAACCCCAATGTTAAGGCCCCTGCAGATAGATGTCTTCCTTGGCCACAGAACAGTCCACTTGGCTGCTGTCAAGACTCGACATTTACTGCCTATATCCCATTTTAGAACCCCAGGTCGGTGCCCACTGCTTCCCTCCTAATGTGTTTGGCTATAAACTTCTGCAAAGTAGGGAGAGACCCTAGATGTAAAAGGTCACAAGTAAAGATTCCCACTCGAGAATCCTAGCGGTAGACAGACAGAGCACAGATAGGGGGAGTTCAGAAACACGTTGTACCAGAGAAAGGCTCAAGAGGGTGCATCCTGTGTAATTCCATCTGCGTGAGTTCTGAGAGAAGGCAGGGAAAACTCAGATCAGCGGCTGTTCATGTGGGCAAAATTAAAATGCTTCATGTCTTAATTAGGATGGGAGAAACCTGGGCAAATACATTCACTAAAACCCTAAGAACTCTCACTTGAGCCCAGGAGTTGGAGGTTGCTGTGAGCTGTGATGTCACAGCACTCTACCCAGGGGGACAGCTTGAGGCTCTGTCTCAAAAAAAAAAAAAACCTAAGAACTGTACATCTTAACTGTGCATTTTATTTTACATAAATTAAACCTCAATAAAAAATATATAATATGGGCAGCACCTGTGGCTCAAGGAGTAAGGCACTAGTCCCATATGCTGGAAGTGGTGGGTTCAAGCCCGCCCCCAGCCAAAAACTGCAAAAAAAGGAAAAAAAAAAAAAATATATATATATATATATAAATAGTATGAAAAAAAAAAAAACTGAGTACAGTTTCGTAACAGAGGGTTCCTGTCTGCAGAGATCACAGCTTGCCGAGATGCTCTCTTTGACCTTTAGAGACTTCCCCAAAGTGCCAGTCATTCAAAACAGGCTAATGACAACTTCTCACCAGTGTCAGTTCCAGTTTCACAATGCCCAGACCTGCTAATCACATGATGTGATGAGCTAAAAATGAAGAAATAAGAAAATGCCTGGGGCCTGCAGCGGCACACACCACAGTCCAGCCACATCCTCCACTCAGCACACAACCCAACCCTCCCACAGCAGACTGCAGGACAGCACTGAACAAAGCCACCACATGACCAAGTGAGGCCACAGGAGCCCACAGGCCAGGCCAAGCAGCAGCAGGGCTGACCCTGTGGCAGGCTGCAGCCTAGGTCACAACCTAATGCCATGGGTGTACATGTAGCTGTGGTGGGCCTGGGACTACGGCGCTGGGATCACTGACAAAAGCAATCAAATGCATGGCCCACACGAGACCCAGCCATCCTGCACCCCATGAAAAGTCACTAAGGCCCCAACAAGGCTCAGGAGCTTATGAGCACAACAGGGCCCATCTCTAGCTTCTGGAAGGATTTGGGTCACAGACAGAATCCAGTCAGACACACAGAAGCTACTATGTGGGCAAGAGACCCTTTTCTGCCCACATCCAGTTCCTTCCTTCTTCCCTTTGGGGGTGGCAGGGTGAGCCGTGGATAGACCACCTGATCCTCACTTATTCACCTGGGGTCTCTCCTCACAGTGGCACTGCCAGATCCCTGACCATTCCCAGAGGCCCTGCTAGGCTACATACCCCTCCCCCCAGCACAGTTTGGACTTCTGGGGAGGAAGAAGAGCTGACGCAGCCTCTGCTTCATGGCCCAGACTTGCCCAAGAAACCAGGGTCAAAGTGTAAAGTAAGGAAAGGAAGCAGCCAGCTCCAACAGTGTTAGAAATAAATTAAGAAAGAAGCAGTCAGGCCAGGATGGCCAGGCCACTGCAGCGAGTGCAGAGGGCCACAGCGCCTGGGCTGCTGCCCACCTCACCTTCACAGTGAGGTCGGTTACGAAGACCAGCAGGCAGAGTACCTCCACGCTCTCCGTTAGGCCACAGGGCGGCTCCCAGGGCAGGGAGCGGTGGCGCACATCTGACGTCTTACTGAGTGAAGAAGGGATCTCAATAAAAGCCAAAACCAGGATCACAAAAATGGTGAAGCTCAAAGTCCTGGAAAGAGGACAAAAACTAGTTAAAATGCAAGAACTGCAGCCCTCTGTGACCAAAAGGCTGACCAGCAGGGCAGACTCTGCTGGTCCAAAGGTGGGAGCTGGTACCTCTTGGCTGTGGACACTCCTTACTATAAGTACCAGTAATCTGGTCAAGACTTGATTGCCTTTGGCTAATCTAAGTGTTCTGGAAGGAACCCCTTGTCACCAAAGAAGACCTTCCATCTAGAAGCTGGACTCTGCTCTGGAAGGAGGGAGGCTACCAGCCTCCTTGCACTCATGGGGAGGAGACCTGCCTAGATCCCAAGGCCAGGTGAGGCCGGCCTCCCTCCCCCAAGCAAGCCCAGGAGGATTCTCACCACTGGCATATGTCTGAGTAATACCATCGATAAAGCCACACCGAGCGGGGGTCCATGCGGTGGTTGATAGAGCGGTACTAAAAGATAAAGATCATAGAGAGGTACGTGAGCAGGTGTCCCTCTGACCCGTGCCCCTCACCATGCAAACTTACAGGCAGTGCCCCCTCTCACCCGAGACATGCCTGAGTCAGCGGATGGCCACATGGGCAAGGCCTGCCCTGATCCCACAGGCTCAGACCACAGCAAACTGCGTGGGACCCAGCAGCCAAGCGCTCCTTAAGGCCAGACAGCCTGGGCAGGCAGGTGCCTGAGCAAACACGCAGGGAGCATCTGCTGAAGGTACAGCCACTTCCTTGGCCTGCCTGAAAGGCTGTTTTCTCTGGGCAAGGGCAACCATCCCAACCCCAGGGCAACTGTGACATCCTCCAGGATGCCCCACCACCACCTAGGACCTAGAAGGGGTGGTCAATGACAGCCTCAGAAGATGTCCCTGAGGGACTACGGAGAGCTGTGCCCAGAGGCTCAGCCATCACCATTATCCTAACCAGCAACTGAGGGCTGGGCCCAGGACAGCACAGAAGGGCAGGGCCAGGAGGCTTTTGACCAGCAGGCAGCCATCACCTAGATCCAGCCACAGGGTATAGGCACCACCCACCTGGATCGCGTCTTCAATGAAGACCACAGCCTGGTCAATGCAGATGCTCTGCTTGGCTGCAGCACCTATAGGCCAAGAAAAAACATTGGGCAACTGAGTGGGATCACGTGGCCTCCCCCTTACGGGAAGATCATGATTGAAGAGAGACACTGGCTGCGACTCTTTCTAAGGTTCAGTTTGTAAGAAGATGCCTTGCATCTTGCAGTGTATGCAAAGACAGAACTCCCCACACTTGGGAGCACTGTGTCAGCCCCAGGCAGGGTCCAGACCAGGGAAGGAGCCACTGCATCTGGTGCAAAGGAGCTAACCTGGAGGGACACTGCTCTGTGAGGATGGACAAGCACCAGGGTTCTGGCAGAGACTTTGGCTTTAGACATGGAGACTGTGGGTGTCTCCTCCTCTGTCAAATGGAGGTGTGATGGCTGCCCTGCTCTGCTCCCCAGAGGGGGCCATGAGGTATAAGGAGGGCTTGCAAGATGGGCCTGGATCATGGAGTACACTCAGTAACGACAGACAACCATCGCTGCTCTTCCACCTGGTCCTACCCAGCCTGCTGCGTGGCCTCTGTCAGGACACTGTCCCCAGTATCCTACTCACCCTCTATCAGAGATGACACTGACATGTAAAGCTAACCTCTGGAACCAGAAGGTACCACTGTGACTCTTCACCCAACACTGAGACTCCCAAGGCCCCAGCCCTGCCTGTCCCACAGGATCAGGAAGCCACACCCAAATCACCCCCAGGTTCAGAGCCCAGGATGTGCCTGAGTCTCTCATCTGAAGGGTGGCCACCCATCTTCAAAACCAAAGATTTGAGTTGTCATGACACAACCTCTCCCAATGGGCCTGGTCAAGGGTGGGGGTTGGCTCCTGACTAGGGAGGAGCCTTCCAGAAAACTCAAGCAGCACATATGCCAGGTCCCGGCACCCCAGCCCGCTCAAGCCCCTCACCCACCCAGAAGATGCAAGCTGGCAGGCTCGGCGCCTGTGGCTCAAGCCGCTAAGGCACCAGCCACATACACCTAAGGTGGCGGGTTCGAATCC